ATCGTTTCAGAAAATATACGGATTCGCTGTCCACATGAAAACGCAAGGGCGGCGTTTTCAGATTTATCCACTCTGGGACCCGGTTTAAAAAAATATCGGTTTCACTCTCCCAAAACGCCGGATCCATGTGGACGAAACGCACATACGATACAAAATGTATGCGTATACAGCTAAATGCGTCTCCGTGTGGATGGGGCCTAAGTCTATATGATTTTCTCTTTGACACAATAGGAGATATTTATCAAAATGAAGACAGGCTGAAAAAATGGCAAACTTTTTGACAATAGGTTCTATAACTTAGGGTGACCATACGTGCCATTTTCCCAGGACGCGTCCTGGCCAGGATTTCTATATTGCCTAAAATATCTAGGTTTTGGCTTTGTTTGCGTGTGCAGACCAATCGGTGTATGACATATTTTTCCTCTGTTATTTGCCACCAAGCTGTAGATGTATGTAACAGCAGGGGCTTTGGGCATGTGACCAAAACCGCAAATCTTATCAGTTGGCCAGCTTTTTTCACAGTGTGAAAGATGTTTTGTGAAACACAAGGTAAGTATAAGTGTGAATAAAATTTGAGAGCTATAGCTGACGGCAGGATTACAACAAATAACAACTTAAATTTCAATCTGTTCCTCAATTCACATGCTTGAGAAATTAAGCGTTAGCGTTAGTTCTGGCAGGTCACGTGAGTCAAGCTTGCATCAGCTGATTCTCAGCTGATCACATCTACCTATAGGAATACGACACCTATCGCGGCATTCCTATATAAGCTCTATTCAGTATTATTCAGCAGCTTTTCAGCTTGCTCCGGAGCAAATTACCCTCCTCCATCCCCAGCTCCTCCTTTCGCCACAGTCAGGACTTGGCTTTCTGATATTCCTTGCTAATCAGACTCCTTTATCTTGAATAAAGTGTTACACTTAAATATCAAGTACATTAATGATATCTGCCTTGTTCTGTTCTGTTAACCCTAGGGGTGTTATTATTGCTGCTCTCCCTGCTTATTCATGACAGGCTGCATGGATGGGCAGGGAGGTTTTTGCCCAGAACAGAACCATACCGCCAAACCAAACTTTATGCTAAGTATCTATCATTTTGACGATAGTGGTCCTGACAGAACTACTTTTATGGTACATTTGTCATTGACACTACTCACTGTCTACTTCTGTTGTATGAAAAACAGAAGCTTGGACTTTTGATTTTGTGCTTCCCAAAATGAAAACACTACTACCGATTTGCCTGAGAGTGGCCTGAGGTGAGTAGATGAAATAACTATCCAGTTCTTTTCCTGCCTGGATATGATCAAAGACCAGGCGAGCTTTACCAGAAGCTAGCAACTGATTCATTACATGCAGTACCTCTCAAGTAGTTCTTGAGCTTCTCTATGAGGTTCTTGGTGTCAATCTTTTCCTTCTCATATTTGTTCTTAGTCTGATTAATTTTATTCATCAGGTCCTCAGCTTGATCTTTGATGTAATTAGTCATTTTTGAGGTGCCCATGAGCTGTAAATAGAAAACAGAATGAGGCTTAACATTTACATGTAAAAGATAAAATGATACAAAAGTTTTTGTGGCTTCTTTTTCAAAAGATACAACCTAAAGTTCCTCTGGAGACCCTAATATAGACACTTTGAACCACAAGGCAAAAATATACATAAAGTATATGCATTAAAATGATAAAGTAGTAAGGTACTGGTATGTTTTTGACGTGCCTTAGCATCAGCTTCCTTGAGTTTACTGCGCAGATCAGTAATGTTCTTCTCGGTCATCTCTGCCAGTTTGGAGGCATTGAGGCTGATGGGTAAACTCCCTGTACAGGCAGGACCCCCGCATATCCCACATGAAGCTCCACCACATTTTGCCTTCTCACATTCTGCATCGCCTGGAGCCCCACAGACCTACGGCAGAAAATTTGTCACTGCAATACACATATATTTCTTCTTCAAATTGCAGAATGAAGTTTTACTCTTCATTCACCTCCTCGTTGAGGCTGGCAACATTCAGAGCTTTCGCTTTCCTCTCCAGCTTTTCCATTTCTCCTATACGACACTTTGAAAGTTCCAATGTAACATTCTCTCTCGTCTTCCTGGAGGCTTCTTGGGCCTTTTTAGCTGCTTCCACTTTCTTCTCACTGTCAGTGAATTCTTCATAGAGCTTTTTGATCTTATTTAAAATATCTATAGAAATGACACAAACAGTAGTTGCATAATAGCTCACAATGCCTTTAAAAGCCAAAATGAAGTGTTATGATGTTCACAAATGGCACTCTGATTCTGCCAAACCAACTTTTCATGTTGGTAATCACTGAGATTTGACTTTTCATTTACAAACCATTAATAGCTTTTACATCTGTCGCTGGAATCTCTTTTGTCTTCTCCCTGAGATTCTTCAAGAGTCTGTTGAACTCAAGTCGGATATTGTCGATGTCAGTGTTGAGCAGTATGGTTGGATCAATAATGATTATGTTTGGGTCAATGGTCTCTGTTTCGTTCCTGAGGAGTGAGTAGAAAGACATGTAAGATAAAAGTGGACATTGTACAAGACTACTGTAATCATTCCCAGTTGCATCATTTCAAAAAACATGTTCATCATAGAAGATATGTATTTAATAGTCATCTTAATTATATATTTGAAAAAATTAATTGATTTGGAATAAAAATTAGCATTGTGTCATTGACCCAGAAATATTGTAGTATGTCAATTAAATTGTGTAAAATTATATTACCTAATGCGTGCCAAGAGCTCCTCTAGTTTTTTTAGCTCATCCTTGGCAGTCATGTTAGCCAGACTCTGCAGCTTCTCCAACAAATTCCTTAAGTTTTGTAGTTCAGATATAGGCCGATCGTCTTCAGGACATGGCCTTTTAGTTTCTATCCTCTCAATATCTAGTCTAACATCTGAGACAATTTTCTCCCAGAGGTGGTAGCAGGCATGGCAGGGTTCACAGGCAGGAAAGTTTGTGTCATGACCTGGGGCGCAGTCATCACAGAAAAGGCCAATCACCCCTGGCTTACACAAACACTCACCCGTGTAAGGGTCACAAGCTGGATAAATGGTCCCCTCCATGTTACAGTCACAAGCTGAACAAAAGATGATATAATTTTGTTTTAGTCAGCAGACAATGACTTGGAAAAGAGCAAAACTCTGTGTATATTAGCTTACACATGCACTGTATATCTGGGTTTCCAAAGTGATTCGGCCCACACTCATCACATTTTCTGCCTCCATACTCTGGCTGGCAGAAACACTGGCCTGTGATCTAGAAGGACATAAAGTATAGGTGTAAAGCCCAAAATTCCTTTATAGCCATCCCATGTGATGAGACACTTCTTCTAAAGTGAATTTATTGTATGAATGATTATATAAACAGAAGATATTAACCTTGTCACAGATGTAGTTGAGAGCATGTTCTGGATCACAATTACATGGCTGGCACCCAGACTCCCCATCCAGGTTCCAGTATCCATCCTCACACTCATTACATAGGGTTCCCTTGACACCTGTGCGACATGGGCACTGGCCAGTTTCCTGGTCACAGAAACAGGGGCTTCCAGCTGGACACTTTGTGTCATCTGTGCCCCTCCGGTCACAAGAACACTCTAAGTAGACAATAAAAACATGGCATATGTTGTTTATGAAGCCATTGTTTATGAAGGCAAAAAAAAAAACTTAATAAATAATAATAAATATCTGTTGCCAAAACAATGCGTAATTTACATGAAGCATTTTGTCCCATATAAAAAACGTCTTTATCCTATCTGTTTTGTAAATGGACGTTATAGATCTGATTGTGAATGATTCATCCATGTAGTTGTTATTTCTTTTTTGGATTTCATCAAAATGTCACACTAGATCTGGTGACATAAGCCAGTCATTTAGTCCACTTAAACCTCACCCCTTCCCAATCAACTATAAGCTCACATTCATTTTTGAAGGCAACACCCTCAACTCAAACCAACCAATTAACAACTGAGAGTTTGCCCAATTTTTTCGATAATCAGTTATGATAATCACTGGTATGAACATCACAATATGGAAGAAAATATCTGTTACTACTTCTCCGTTTGATTATGACTTCAATATTAAAATATATGTGCTTATATTTTGGGCCACATTAACAGTTTTCTCTAAGTTATCTATTTCTTAGTTGCTATACTTATTGCTGGAAATACCCACTTTTTGATGTGTTCAAACCGCAGGAACTGGGAACAATTTTAGTTACAGGAATGCCTTTTGCGGGGACTGAATTAGCTCTTTCTTCAGAGTAGAGTATAACCAAGTACAACAGGAACTACCAGTGACATAAGTGTATGCTGATTGGCTGAACTCAAGCCATATGGCACTCGCCATTTCTAAAAAGCTAGGGATGCACCGATACCACTTTTTCCAGTACTCGCCCGATACCGATACTTTTATTTTTGGTATTTGCCGATACCGAGTACCGATACCAATATTTTCATTGCATTTGTAAATTTAAAAAATATTGGGTACAGAAACCAAAAGAGTAACCTGAACTTCAATATTTTCCCAGACTCGGTCTGAATAATTTTTGGTCCCAAATTTGTATCAATTTTACTGGTAGTGTATGAAGAATTTTTGGGTATAATATATCACAGTTTAGTTTATTTTGCTATCATCACTTTACATAAATGAACTATAGTGTCCTACACCCACTAGTAGAAAAATATAAAAAATTATATCTGGTCTCTGAATAATTTTTGGTTTGACTGTATATCCTTCTGTTATTTTCACACTAAATTATGCCCATTAAAATGTTTTTTACAAGTTTTTGTTACTTTCACTGTTTTTTCTCTCTCTCTATGGTACCCTACATCATCTTTAATTTAATAGCATTAGAGCTGCTCCATTGCAGCGGCTTAGTACTGTAATCACGCGATTTGCTGTACAAATGCAGGGAACCACTCGCTATAAATCTCCTAACTGTGATATTTTCATAAATAGAAGTCATGTTTTTTAAAATCTGAAACGTGCAGCGATGTATTTTTCAAAGCCACTCATATAATGCAGAAACACTCATGCCCCTATAAATTGTCTTATATTTACGATTTAGTTTTAATCCAAATGATGCGTGTGCTAAGTGAGTGAACATCAAAGATCACACAACAGAAGTGCGCGCGTGTCTGACCAAATCCACCGGTTCGGTTTGGCCCCCCCAAACTCAAACGTCAAGCTACGCCTATGTTTCTCTCTCTCTCTCTCCCTCCCTACCATGAAGTAACTTGTGCATTGTTTTACTTACTTCTTTTTGACATATCCGACCGAACTATAAACTTTCCAGTGATGTCTGTGAGAAAGGGATATTCACTCGACAAGCTCGCGAATCTGCGTGCGCGCGCGCTCAATCCACTCAGCG